TAATCAAGTCTTGAGGCAGTAATTTGATTTTAAGCAAAGTTAAGAGGCAACTAAGGTGGAACAATGAAGTTGAGTAGAGACAAGTTTGGTGAAGTTGTACAAGTAGTTTAGACAAAGAAGAGTAGAATTATAGAGTAGATTAGAGGTTAGAAAAGCAAGTCATACAGGCAGTGTAGAGAGAGAGGTTAGAGTAGCTGAGTCGGTGGTTGGTTATGCTAGACTTTGTTACTCACTCGGTCACTGCGCGACCTCATGCACTTTGCTCACTTTTAAGAACATATGAGAGGTCGACTTGTAGCAAATCTAATGGCAGAGTAGAGGAGAATGGAGTGAATGTGTGTACAGTTGAAAAATCAGTGTAGAGAACAGATAGTAGAACGGTCCAGTTTAGTAAAGTATACTTGAGTCAAGTCCTGTTGCTGTATATAACTTAAAGGGCCTATGTCAGCTGGGGAGCATGCACACTGAAGTTAATATGCAAGTTACTTACATCTGTCAAAATTCCATTGTTTTTGATGTGTGAATTTCTCTGTCACGTACAGAGCACCGAAATTTACCATGAAATTTCCAAGAGAGGAGGGTTTGGATAAGGGATATTTTGATAGAATTTAGAATTACAGACAATTTCATCTGTGGTTATGCTAGATCAAGTTCCCTCAATTTTGTCATCAAAGATAAAAGTGTTAAGATAATAATTTTACTTGTAGTTGTGAATTAAAAATGAATACCATTCAAGAAAATAGCGCACAAACGAAAATTCAACAACAACATATTGTCTTAGTCAAAATAGTAAATCAAAGTTTTATTTCATAAACGACCTGCAAAAGACTCTAGACCAAAGATAAAGTGACCAAGACTGTTTCAAATCTTTAACAGTTATTAGAACGGTCTGTCACTACTTATTTTAAAACTTTTAATTGCTGACAGAACAAAAGCAACACTGTTTTGAGTCTTTGTTTTGATCCCCGGGCTACACAACTTTGATTGTGCAAAACTGTTTGATCGTGTCCAATCACTGCGACATTGAGAAAAACAGAGCCAAGTATCACTGGTGTACAACTCCATTTAAAGCAGTCCGTGAATAACAAGGGAAAGTAAACTTAGCTATTTTCCAAAAATCCGAGCAAACACAAACAGTTCAAAGACAATGCACTTACGGAAACTTGTGCCTCTCTAAATAAGTCTGTCATCTTTGCTGCGAATCAAGATAAATACAAGAAGAATCTAGCCATTAATTCTATAACTTTTCTTTTGCCAGAAGTTGAGTTTTGTCACAAAACTCATGGCCATGAGTCATCGTTTACTCAATTTGATTAAACACAGCCACAGTCAACTCCATAGCCACTCTATTATATGTCCACAGACTTTGAGCACAAAAAGATATTCAAGAGTCAGCAGGCTCTAAAACAACTCAACAGAAACGTTCTGTTAACTATGAGGAAAGATTCTATCAAGATTCCATCACTCATTGTGGAGTAGCAAACATTGTTTCTCTTTCGGCCCCTGCCAGCAAAACAGCCACTGATAAGAGGACACTGTAAATCCACGGGAAAAAAATTCCAAGCCTTAGGGCAAACAATAATTATTTCAAACTAATGCAACAGAGTCTCCTGTAATCACCATGGAATGATTCTTAATACAAAACTGCTGTAACTGTGAAACAATGGCTGGGATTTAAACAGATAAAGACAGCCTTCCAAAATCTCCGACAAAACTTCAAAATGTCGGGCCAACTTTTTCAACTTTGTTTTCATTGGCTCGTGCGTGCGCCAGGGGTGACATAGTCCCTTTAACTGCAAGCAGTGCTGGCAGTTATTGTAAACAGTGTGGAGTTGTGTAGGACTGTCGAATTGAGTAGAGTGGTCTATGAGACTTAGTAAGACGGTATTTTAAGGTGTGGTGATTGTGGTGGTAGTGGTAGTTGTGATTGTTGTGGCAGTGTCTTTAGTGGTGGTAATTGCTAGTGGTAGCTGTGGTAAAAGGAGTCTGGCTGAGAGGTCTGCTGTAACTGGAACTGGAATGGAAAA